GCCCCAAGGGGGCTTTTTGCCCTTGTTTTGGCCCTGGCCCACAGGGGGGGGTAAACCCATCTGCCCCCAGGGGCCTTTTTGCCACTGTTTTCCTCCAGGGACCCAAGGGGGTAAAGCCCCCTGCCATTTTGTGCAAAAAACCGCAAAGGACTCGTGGAGGCACGTGGCGCTTTCCGCGTGTGTCTCGTGCAAAATCCGGCATTTTGTGGCTTTCAGGTGGCACGACGCGATTCAGGTGGCGTGGAGCCTCCTACCTGGGCCCATCTATGGCCGGCAGCGCCCGCACTCTTCAAACGGGAAGGCTTCCTCCCCGCACACGGCGCACTGCCAAGCCGGCACGCGCGGCACCCACTCCCCGTCGTCCAGGCTGGCCCTTGTATGCCACCAGAGCGGCGCACCGCCCGGCCATCGTCCATTTGCCACCTGCCCCGTCGGAGCCCAATGCTTGCGGCAATACGCGTCCAGACTGGCGATGTGCGCCTCCTCCGCTGCCTTCAGGTCTGATCCTGGAAAGTCGCCGTTGAGAGCCCGTGTCACGTAAGGAAGAGTCAGCGCGCGCAGCATGCTCCGCGTCAGGGCCGTCTGCCCGCTGAAAGGGCAGCCGCGCATGAGATCGGGCAGATGCCCCTCCAGCTTGGCCCTGCGGAGGCATTCCTCGAAGAGCTCCCCTCCGTCTATGTTCCACTTCCACTTGAACGCCGCCCCGGCCTCGTCCTCCTCGGCCCCGCTCTCCGTCGCCGAGGCCCTGACAGCAACGCGATGGCCCAATGCGCCGATGCGCTCGGCTCTCCATGCTCTGTGCCTCACCGCGTCGCGGCGGAGGCGGCGAGCACCTCGTGTGCCAGCGGCCCCCGCGGCCGCCGCCACCACGTAGTCCTCGTCTTCCATTTGCGGCGGGCGCCCAGCAACCAGCGGCAGCCGGCGGCAGCCAGGTGCAGCCAGCGGCAGCGAACGCAGTACCACGCAATTCGCCGCCCTCGTCCCGCCAACTCGTCCCCCCCCCCCCCCCCCAAAATCTTCTGGTTCCACTTCCTAGATATATATATTCGGTAGCAGAAAGAGCCGAAAAGGAGGCCGGCAGGCCGATTCTGGCGGCGAGACGCGAAAAACGGGTGAGGGGCCGTTTCCTCACAGCAAAGACACAATGGGATCATGGGAGTATTCATGTGTGGCTATGCAGAAACGCGCACACACTCTATCAACAGCGCACAAAGCAGTCACGGTACACAAGAGAGCGAGCAGCAAGTTCAGTGCGCTGTGGCAGCAGCGTCAGCGCGCTGGGGGCGCCACCGGGGGCGCAAGCGCCTGGCGCTCCCGTGCCTGGCGCGCGCGCTTGAGTCTCGCGCGGTGGTTCTTCATCCATCGGACCGCCTGCGCGGCAAGGGAGCGAGGGGATCAGCCTTCGATGCGGCCAGGGACGCGGTGGGAGCGCGTGTCGCCGCTGCGGTGGCGCGCGCTGCGACGGCGTGCACGCGGCGCACCGGCGCCGCGTCGCGTCGCGGCGCAGTGCTGGAGGCGTGCAGGCGGCGTGTCGGGGCGGGTGGCGGTGACGAGGTGCTGGGAGTGGTCGCGCGAGCGAGGCGGCGCGCGGTACGGAGGCGGTGGCAGCGCGGCGGCGTCGCGTCGGCGGTGGTAGCGCGGCGGAGCGGCCAAGGGGCGGGGCGGGGCGGGCGCGGGGGGCGGGGGGCGGGGGGCGGGGCGGGCTGGGGCGTGGCGCGCACAATGCTCGCATCGATTCCCATCATGTTGGGCGCCGTCAAGTGGCGGTAGTCGATCGTGCAGTTGCAGGCGGTGGGGCCGCACGGTCGTGCCTTGACTGGCCGCAGCGGCAAGTTCTTGTGGTCGACGCCGGTAGCCCGTCGTCGAGCGCAAATCTCCAGACGCTTTCGCGAGCTCTCGTAGAGAGTGTAGGCAAGCTTCAGAGTGCGCTCTTGGAAGCCGTCGAGGTCGAGGGCGAAGTTGAGATCGACGCGCGGATCGCCCCGCCTCGCTCGCGGAGCGAACTTGTGCTGGCGCGCACCGCCGCTCCGGAGCGGCGGGTCGGGCCGGCGAGTCGGCCGCAGAGGCGGCTCCCCGCCGATCGGATCGGCCGGCCGAGGGCGGACAGGAGCCTCGTTCAGGGTGGACGGGCCACGAGCCAACGGTGCGCCCCATCGCCGCGCCGCGGGGAGAGCGGCAGCGGCCGCGACCATCGCCCGACCGTCCAAACCCTGCTAATCCACGCCGGAGGTTGGCTGGGCGGTTCCCGCGGTTCCGCGGTGTGTAACTCCGCGCTCTGAGCGAATCATGGCATGGCAGCGCACACCACACAACCGCACCGCGGACCACCGTCCGCACGCCACCGGAACCTCCAACATCCACAAGCGCCAAACCGGGCACGTGAGGCAGACCTGCACCTCGAATCTTCCCGGGACGGTGCCGATTTGCCGCACGCAAAAGGTGATGCTGCTGCACTTTTCAAAGGCGTCTGGCTCCGCGGTGTGCAGGCTGGCGCAGGCCGCAGGCTGCAGCACGTGGGCCAGAGGAAGCAGCAACTGCGGCAGTCGCGAGCGGCAGTACGGCGATGGGCCGTGGTGGATACCTGTTTCGCACGCTCAGACCGAGTGGGAGAGGTTGAACTTTGCCTACCCCGACGCAATTCGGCGCATGCGCAGCGGCAGATACAGCTGCTCACAGCGGCTCGCGAAGGCCCCGCAGTTTCACGCCGTCGAGAGCACCCTGCCCGGCGGCGCGCCCTGTCCCGGCTTCTTCACTCTCGCGTTGCTGCGGCCGCCGCTCGAGCGGATGGTGTCTCACAGCTACGAGCTGGCGCGCGGGCCCTGCTAGCCATAGCCCTCTAGCCCTGTCCCTTACGTGTGCATGAGAGCAAGTGCTCACCCCCTGCGCGCGCAGGCACGCTGGGGCATGGTGCGTCCGCCAAAGCAGGGCTTCTGCTCCAACTACAGCCACATGCGTCGCCTCGCGCCGGCGGTCTACGACAACTACTACCTCCGTGTCCTGCTCGGCGAGCGCGTGCTCGGCCTACCGCCCGGGGGCATCACATCGGCGCATATTACCGAGGCCAAGCGGGTGCTCTCAAGCCTGCAGCTCGTGCTGCTGAGCAACGACGCCGCGACGCCCGTGACGCTGCAGCGCGCGACGGGCATCGCCAATTTCACCGCGTGCCGCGACACCACGCGGCCCGCGCGCTGTGCCATGTCTGACGAGGACAACGAGCGAGCGCGGCGCGACAACGCGCATGACCTGGCCCTGTATGACTACGCGGAGCGGCTAGCGGCGCAGCACGTCGCAAGCTGGAGAGGGGGGGAAGCGCCGCTGCCGGCGGTGTTGTGATGTTGGCCCACGTGCTGAAACAAAAAGGGGGCAAAAAATAGCCCAGAGAGTGGCGGCGTTTACGCTAGCTCGCTTGGTGACGGTCGCCCCCTGGAGAGGGATGCCTAGTCCATCCTCGCGGAGAGCCTCTACACTGTGTGGAACGCGCTTGCGGATGCGCGCCCCAAAATGTCCGCCTCAAAAGGCCTCGTTCTCGCCCCTTTCCTGTACGCGTGGGTCTCAGAGGACGAATGCGCACCGGACCTTCGAGGACATCAAAGTCGGCTGCGCCCTACGGCCATCCAGCCGGCTCTCGAGTGTCGCAGCGCGACGCGCTTCACCCCTCGACTCCGCGCTGCGAGTCGATCTGGAGACGACGCTCGGCCACCGCCAACTCCACCCTGACGCGTCGCACATGCGCCGAGTGTCCCCCCCGAGGGTGTCCTTGTATAGTATGCTTGGTTGCGAGTTAAAAAAAGCCCGTTCCGCACCCGCACCCAGCACCAGTACACATGCCGTTCTGGTGCCCCTCGGCTGGCCAGAGGACGACTCACAATGCAAAATCGGAAAGACGTCACGAGGGGCCGTATAAACGGTACCGCAGCGGCCCGGGACACTAACAGTGAATTGCTGCCACTCGCCCGGCCTCCTCCCCCTCGGGGTCGCCCGGAAAGTGGGCTTGCGCACCGGCGCCCCCCCCAGCACGCCGACCCGAGGTGTACCCTCCGGCCACCTGGGAGGGGAGCGTTCTCCCTTTTTGGCCCATTGGCTTCATCATGATGGATACGGAGGTGGCCAGCCCTTGGTTGTGCACCTGCGGCGCGAAGAGGAGGTGATCTCGGCGGACGACGGCCGTGCCAAGAGCGGGTGCAGCGCGGAAGAGGGTGCGCAGCGCGTCGCGGCCGCGCGCTTGGGAGCCGGGGGGATGGCCGGAGGGGGTGGGACGCCTGCATGTCCTCGAAGCTCCCACCCGCATACGCAAGCCGAGCCGCGAACGGCGGGGAGGGAGTTTTGGAGGGTCAGCCAAGGACGCGCATGGCGAGTGACAAATAGAGGCGACTTCGCTCTACACCGGTTTGCCATCGTGTATATTGTCTACTTTATATAGAGCCGTACCGCGACGGCTCTAGTTCTGAGCTGTGAGGGCAGAAAAGAGAAGATAGAGTGCACAAAAAAGCAGACTAAGCACTACTGATCCTGGTCATTAGAGCTGCCAGGCCGATAGCGTCAGGGGCCGGTCGTAGGAGTCAATAAACCCCTCTCATATTAGAAAATAGAAATATCATATTTGAGACACATTATCGTGTCCCATAAAGCCGTATAAGGCGCCTTATTCATTCAAAAACACAACCCCAGAGCCAAGACGTATATTCATGCGTATATTGGGAATAATGTTGCACGCCCTTGCGTCGAAGGCGATCTGACAGGAACAGATTTTATTTCACCGTGACAGGCCAGGGGGACCGCAGGTACGGCTGTGAAACGCGCCACAGTCCATCCGCGACACGGCGTGGGTCGGGAGCCGCGTCAAGTTAACAAGTTTTATAGGAGGGTACGGTACCTCCAAGCGGATGAGCGGCAGCGCCTGGGGGGACCCCCAGGGGGGATAAACTCGAGCGTCGAGGCGCCAGAAACTGCCAAAAACGCTGGGAGGAGAGCGGAGAGTTACGCCGAGAGGCGAGAGAAGCCGCGAGAGTTGGAAAAACCCGAGACGCTGGGCGTGAGGTTACCGACCGCACTCCAAGTTCTCCAAGTGCCTGGCCCGCTGGGTGCGCTTTTCTTAGCTCCCCGGCGCTGGATGTGAGGTTGATGACTGCACTCCAAGTGCTCCAAGTATACCCAACGCGCTCATGTTCCTCGCATCCTCAGATGCCACCTTGCATCCCGCGCCGGGATGCATGGACGTTCCCAAGATGAGGGTATCATCTCGGCACACTGTGTGCGTCTGAAGACGACTGCAGCCACAACGACCCCTGGAATTGCGACTCGCCGCTTTCTTTCCTCCCGCTGGCTGTGATTCTGTGACTGTGTGAGCTCTGTGTCGTGATCTGCTAACAACATACTCTAAACTGCAGATCTGAGATGTCATGGGCTATATCAAAGACGCGGGGCACCATCTAATGTAAAGATGATTAAATCTTCTTGGAGAAGCAACAATATATGGATATTTGAGTGTTTTTATCGATTGTGAGATGTGACGGAGAGGGGCGAGAGGCCACATGGACATGCGCGGACAGTTCCCGGCTTAGGCGCCTCCGCGCCTGGTTCCCGGATCCCGCCGAGCGCGAGCCGCACGCGTAGCGAGTGTACTGTACTGGCCCGGGTGTGCGGACCCTGCAGATGTGCAGAATTGCACATGTGTGGGCATGCACAGGACTTTGCGGAGATCAGCAGGACCAGGAGGATGTACGAAGAGATTAGGAGCAGCAGGCAGGGACCCGAGGGACCATGTGGAAGACGGCTAGTGCTCGTCCCCCATCGGGAGAGGACGACCCCGGCTAGTCGCCGACCACACCCACAAAGAACCCTGCACAAAGATCGCACGGGCGGGGACCTGTTCCTTTTTACCCATCTCACAGTAGAGGTGTCCGTTTTTATTTATTTATTTAAAGATCGCGAGAGAGAAGAGATCGCGTGCCCAGTGTAAATAAATAAAACGGCGCAAGGGTGAGAAGGACAGGGTCCCCACCTGCACGAGCAGGATCTTGGAATGGCGATGGGACACAGGGGAACGGGAGCGGGGAGCGCATCGCAACACGGAGGGGGGCTGGGCGGGTTCACCCTCCGGCGTGGGCCCTTGCTCGTTCACTCGGCGGGTTCGCAGCTGCCTCTGGAAGGCACCGAGAGGTACAATAGTGCGCAAATGGTCAAAATCAAGGTTTTGTAACGCGAGCTGTGCCACAGTGAAATGAAC